CTCGGTGACAGAAATGGAGCTGGAGAGAGAATGATGGAATTTTGCACAATCGATGACTTATTCATAGCAAATACATTTTTAAAGAGACATATACGCAGGTTATATACTTGGATTTCACCTGATGGTATGCAAAGGAATCAGATCGTTTCCATCTGTGGAAAGAACCGCTGGAGAAGCTCAATTAAAATTAATAAAATTTAATAATAAAAAAAGAGATATGAGCATACTTGAGTTTTGAAAAGATAAGCTGTACTGTAACAGACAAGTAGTGAGTGGAGGCTCTGGTGGACTAGTGGCAAGAAGCTATGCTGCAATCCTGAAGGCACGCGGTTCGAGGTCACTAGCTGCTCCATGGGAGAGAGATAGGTATTCTCCCATGTGATTAATTGCCTCTGAAAACCCACGAGAGAGGTCAGCTACCAGTTGGTTTCAACTGTACAGTACACAACAAAAACAAAGGGTGGAAACAAAGTGGATACAGAACACTCTAGGAATTAAAGCACAAAAGAAATCTCTGCAACAGGTAGCTTAAGTAATGGCAGTAAAGAGATTGAGACCAAGATTGTATTAAAGTTGTCAAGGGCTTAATATTACTTGGACTCACAGTCAACACCCCTGGAAGCAGTACTCAAGGAATCAGACATGTTACATTGGGAAAATATGCAGCAAAAGACTTCAAGTGTTAAGAAAGCAATGACATCATTTTGAGGACTCAGTTGTGTCTGACCAAACCCAACATACCTTTAATTGATTTATATGCACATGCAGACGCTGGACAACAAAGAAGACTGAAGAAGTGATACCTTTTGAGTTGTGATGTTAACAAAAAATATGTGTGGAATTTATCATTCAAAATTACTTTGGTAGACAGTAGATTTTACTTTATCAGATGGATGGGTAGGAATATGCGAATAAGGTGTGTTAGCCCACAAGGGTATTGGCTAGTCTCACCAATCCATGTTGGGATTGGTTATCCTCATCATTAAATAGAGTGGATCCAGCAGGATAATTAGATCCTTTCCTTCAGCAAAGAAAAAGAAAATACAGCACACTTTTCAAGCCCATAAATTCTTGCTCCAGCTGCACCTATATCAGCAGTAACCTAGGCCAAATCGAAGGACTAATATGAGATGAAGCTGCTTTGGGACTACTACTCCCCAAGGGCAAACTAGAACTACGCTAAAAGCCTTTGCCTAAGTTTGCTGGGCAACTGAGGGGAGCAATATTGGCAGGACTGAGAACGTTATAACCCTGGCCTTAAGCCATGAGGCTCAAGGCTGACAGAAACTGTTCTGATTTAACTCTGCTACTAATCTGGATTAGAACCTTTAACTTCCCCAATGTGGTTCTGTGTAGTCTGTGCACTATCACATTGGATTTTGGACCCAGCAAAACAGTAAAATTGGTGTTGAGATGAGTTGAAAGTGGTGCGGGAGTATAGAGGATATGTCTGACCTCATGGGAATTGGTTTTGTGTTATTGATGCTGTTGATGGGGACAGTTCCCTTTTGTAAAGTTGGTAAAGGTCAGATATGGCCATCAACACATGTCTCTTGCTTCCCCCCCCCCAATATGAAATATATCATGAAATGCCAGAAAAATAAAGAAAACTTACTTGGAAAAAGAACAGCTAGAATGCTACTTAGATGTGAAAATGGTGAGCCTTCATCTCATGTGCTTTGGTCTGTTATCAGGAGGGACCAGTTCCTGGAGAAGAACATCATGCTTAGCAAAATAAAGGGTCAGTGAAAAAGAAAAGACCCTCAGTGAGATAAATTTATATCTTGGCTATAACAGTGAGATCAAACAAACAAAAATTATGAAAATGGTACAGAACTAGACTGTATTTCTATTATACCTAGGGTGGTTATGAATAAGGATCATCTTGACAGCCTCTAACAGGAACAATAATTGGGAGGTGACAAGAATAGATTTGGTAAGGATTCAATATAGTAATAAAGAAGTTCCATCAGCTATCACCCACATATCTGGCTACAGTTGATTGATGAGGGTAACATTCATTGAGAAAAGCACGAGAAAACAACAAAGTTACAAAGTGGGAAACATGGTTTGGTTTTGAACATTGTTGTGTGCCGTTGCGTTGGAACCAACCCATAGCTGACCCCAAGTGGATTTTCAGAGGTAGTAAATCAAACAAAAGGAGATTGTCCATCCTTTTCCTGTGGAGTAGCTGGTGGATTTTAATAGTGTGACATTTGGATTGCAGTGTGGCTTTTCACCTTTAGGCCACAACAGGTCTTTGGACATTAGTGATTCCTATGAATCAACCAGGGAGCTCTTGTGACCTAGTGGTAAAAAGTTGTTCTGGCAATCCAAAGGTACATGGTTCAAATCCACCAGCTGCTACTTGGGAGAAAGATGGATAATCTCTTTCTGAGTTATTTACTGCCTTGGAAGACCCACTGGAGGGTCAGCTATGGATCAGTCCCAACTCTGTGATACACAACAACAACATGAATCAACCAGGACTGGCTGGAAGAGAACCATATTCATTCTCATTCGCAAGAAAAGTTATCCAACAGAATGTGGACATTATTGAACAATATTGTTACTATCACATGCAAGCGAAATATTGCTGAAGATCATCCAAAAATGGCTAAAACAGTGGAAAGAGAACTACCAAAAGTTCAAGCTGGTTTTAGAGGAGGTGGTGGCATCGAGACTATCATTGTGAATGTCAAATGGATATTGACTAAAAGCAGAAAATACCAGAGTAATATCTATTTATGCTTAATTGGCCATGCATAGGCAGGCATTTGACTGTGTCACAACAAATTTTGGCTAACTTAGAGAAGAATGGGAATCTCAGAAGACTTAATTGTGTTCATATGAACCCTAAGCCAAGACCAAGAGGCTGTTATGTAAACAGAGCAAGGGAACACAGTTATTGTTGTTATTAGGTGCTGTCAAGTTGAGCACGATTCATAGTGACCTGGTGAACAACAGATCTGAACTCAGTTCTATCCTGTGTCATTCTCATCATCACCGACACACTTGAGCCCATTGCTACAGTCTCTGTATCAATCCATGTTGTTGAGGGTCTTCCCCTTTTTAAATGATCCTCCACCTTTCCAAGTGTGATATCTCTCTCCAGGGAATAGCCTCTCCTAGCAACTGTTCTTCAGTATTTTAGAGAGCTACAGGATTTAAAGGGAGATCTGGTGTCCTAGTGGTAAGAAGTTGCACTGAAATGCAAAAGGTACATGGTTTTAATCCACCAGAAATTCCACGGGAGGATGAGCAATCATTTCTTGTGTGATTGACTGCCTTTGAAAGCCACTGGAGGGTCAGTTATGCCAATTTGATGACCCACAACAATATGGTTTAAAATTGTGAGAAGTGTACATCAGGGTTGTAGCCTCTTTCCATACGCATTCAATCTGTATGCTGAACAAATAATTACAGAAGCTGGATTCTATAAATAAAAATATGGCATCAGGATCAGAGAAAGAATCATTCACAACTTCATTATGCAGATAATACTACCTTTCTTGCTGAAAATAAGGAAGACTTGAAGCACATGCTGCAGAAGATCAAAGACTGGAGCTTTCAATATGGATTATGTCTCAATGTTAAGAAAACAAAAATTCTCTCCACTGACCTGATAGGCAATATCATGATAGATGGAGAGAAGATTGAAGTTGTCAACAACTTCATCTTACTTGGACCCACAATCAGCATTGTTGGTACCAGCAGTAAGGAAATCAGAAGATGCATGGCATTGGGAAATCTGCAGTCAGGTACCACCCTCAATTACTAAAGAGCAATGATGTCCGTTTGAAGGCTAAGGTGCACCTGACCTTGGTTTTTCAGTCAATTGTTATGCATCTGAGAATTGGATAATGAATAAGGATGACAGAAGAATTGATGCCTTTGAATTGTGGTATTAGGGAAAAGTGCTAAATACCGCAAGGACCGCCAAAAGAACGTAGGTATGTCTTAGAAAAAGTGCACCAGAATGTTTCTTGGAAGCAAGGGTAGAGAAGCTTTTTGTCACATGCTTTGGGCATGTTGCTAGGAAAGGCTATCCCTTACAGAGAGACATCACGCTTGGAAAGGTCAGCAAAAAGGGGGAAAGACTTTCAACTAGATGGATTCATACAGGATTGCAGCAATGGGCTCAAATGTGTTGAACATGATGAGGATGGCACAGGATAGGACAGGGTTCAGATCTATTGTTCACAGGTCCTTATGAGTTGTACTCAACTCAGCAGCACCTAACAACAATGAATCAACTAAAGATGAGAAGTTTAATAAGGAGTGGTTTCGTGAATCTGGGTCTGAGAGAAGATGATAGTTGGAGATGTAAATCTGGGAATCAAATAGATAATAGTTGAAACAAGAGGAAGGCCTTGGCCTAAGCCTCTGAGGTGTGCTGACACTGAATGGTGATGATGAAGAAGATGCACTTGCTGTAAAGAAAAGAAGAATAAGATAGAAAACTAGGGTGGTGTGGGACTTAGTTGCCTTAAGAAGACGAAGAGGTGGCCAGCAGTGCAAAATGCTGTTGACAAATAGAGACAACCAAGGAGGGGGTTGTTGAAACCCAAAGAAACCATCTCTTTGAAGGAGATTGAAACCAGAGATTACAGAGCCCAACCTGTCCACCATGTGCTTTCGTTTGTGCAGTAATTGCTAGTTTATAGTCTCGCTCCCCTAATACATTCCTCCAAAGTGAATATTGTCTACTCCTTTATCCTCAAAGTCCAGGCAGGGCCAGGTACATACTAGACACTTAATACATTTTATTGACTGGATGGATGGGTAGGTAGATGGATGGTGAACCGAAAGCAAGGTGTCTAGTGTCTAGTCTTCCAGTATTTCCCCTTTTTACTGCAATGGCTGGTCTGCAAACCCTGGAAACAGACGACAGAGCCCGATCCTTTCCCTCCCCTGGGCCTCGGCCCCCCTTCTCTCTGACGGAGAGTCTGGACCGAAGGTTCTGGTGACGTGAGAAGGGGAGGAGAGTCTGGAGGAAGGGGAGGGGACAGCTGCGCACAGTTCGCAGAGACGAAGGAGGCGCCCCCGGCTGCAGAGCTGCAGAGCGAGGTCTCTTCTGAATCTCAGTGTCCCGGTCACAGGCGCGCATCTGGGCCAGAGGACAGCGCATCCTTTTGGTGAGGGCCGTCAGGGCCCCTGCGGTCAGCAAGCTGGCTCCCCGTGTGGCCACCGGGACCCCTGAGCCCAATGGCGGGGGCGGCAGCAAAATCGACAGCACAGTAGAGATCACCCCCAGCCCCAACGGAGTAAGTGCTCGCGCCCCGGGGGCTCTGCCTTACGCACCCTCACTTCCCCACCCCCCGCTGCGCCCAGCCTCTTCCTCCTGCACACCGTCCCCGCGAGGTCCTCGCCCCTTTTTCCCGCCTCCCCTTTGCCCAGCTCTGCGGTGTCTCGCTTCACCCTGCCCTTGCCTCCGCCCCCTAGCAGCAGGTCGGGACCCTGGGAGATGCGGTGCCCACGGAGCAGCTGCAGGGTGAGCGGGAGCGCGAGCGCGAGCGGGAGGGGGAGGGCGACACGGGCAGCGAAGGGATGGGCAGCAGCCTGTCGCTGGCCGTGCCCCCCGGCCCCCTCAGCTTTGAGGCGCTACTCGCCCAAGTGGGGGCACTGGGCGGTGGCCAGCAGCTGCAGCTCGGCCTCTGTTGCCTGCCCGTGCTCTTCGTGGCCCTGGGCATGGCCTCGGACCCCATCTTCACGTTGGCACCTCCGCTGCATTGCCACTACGGGATCTTCCCCCCCAACACCTCTGGCTGGGAGCAGCCCCCCAACGCCAGCGGCGTCAGCGTCACCAGCGCGGCCCTAGCAGCCAGCGCAGCAACCCGCGTCGTCACCAGTACGGACCCCTCGTGCAGTGGTTTTGCTCCACCGGATTTCAACCATTGCCTCAAGGACTGGGATTATAATGGCCTGCCGGTGCTCACCACCAACGCCATCGGCCAGGTGAGGCGGCCAGCTGATTCCAGTCTGGGTCTGGGGCGGGCTCAGGGGGTCCGGGTGGGGGCCTCACATCGGCTCTGTCCCTCTCATAACCTCAGTGGGATCTGGTGTGTGACCTGGGCTGGCAGGTGATCCTGGAGCAGATCCTCTTCATCTTGGGCTTTGCCTCTGGCTACCTGTTCCTGGGCTACCCTGCAGACAGGTGAGGGCTGCCTGGGGGCAGGACAGGTAGAGAGGAGGGGGTGCCAGGTGGGCTAACCCATGTGGCTGGTGTTCTCAAGAGGCTGATGAAGATTTTCTGGATTTTGCAGTCTTCCCTAGATTTATGTTCAATAACATGCAATCTCGCCCCATCTCAATCTCTCTCCTCAATAAATTCTTCCAAACCATCTACATAAGGAAATGTCTCCACCTCATAGATGTTTAGCCTCATCCCCTGACCAGTAGTCCATCGATTAATGGACTCGTCTCAAAAATTCAATAGCTCCACGCCCCCTGACCAGAAGCACTCTCTCCAGAGACCAAAAATTCTATCTGCCTCATTCTATTGTTCCTAATACCACTAGCCACATCATCCCTTACTATCTCCATGTGTTGATATACTCGTCTCCCCTGATTTATACCCCCATCGACATGGACTTTTAGGTACATCTTAATGAACTCATTTTTAAAGAACAATATGTCAGTTCTTAAATATTAATAACCATATTCCCACTGACTACTAGTTCTACCCTACAAACAAGTGACTGACCAGTGGCCCACACTTGTGAATCAATAGCTTTATCCACGGTTCTACATCTACTAACAAATTACCCTGATGAGTCAACAGCCCAACTCTTGTGGATCAGTGTTCCTCTAGATGAATAGTCTCAACCTTAAAGATCTTCAATATTCTCAGATACTTTCAGACTAAACGCACATTCCCATTGAATCAGTGCTTCATCTCAGAAGTTCAACAGTCCATCCCTATCAGCCAATAACTGTCCATTGGGTGGCAAGAAGCTGCACTGCAATCCCAGAGGTGTGCTATTCAAATCTACCAGATGTTTTCCTAGAGAAGGAGGGACAATCTCCTCCTATACCAGTCAGATCCAATTTGATGGTACAGACACACACGCGCACACACACACACAATTAAAAAAGGAGAAAAAAATAAAATTAAAAAAAAATTTTTTAAATCCTATCTCATTTGAGTCTTGACCACATTGCCACCAACCAGTTGCTCCACTTCCATAAATTATACCCATATTATTAAACTCATGCCCACTAATCTGTATTTACATGCCATTAGGTCAATTCCAATTCCTAGTGACCCTATAAGACAGAGCAAAACTGTCCCATAGAGTTTCCTTGGCTGGAATCATTATGGGAGCAGACAACCAAATCTTTTCTCTTGCACAGCTTATAGTGGATTCAAATCACTGACCTTTTGGTTTGCAACCAAGCACTTAATTATTGTGCCACTAGGGCACCTTCACCATTATTTTAAAAAACATTCAAAACTCATTGCCACTGACTTGAAACTGACTCAAAGCTGACCCTCTAGCAGGTTTTCAGAAGCTGTAAATCACACAGGAGGAGATTGCCCATCTTTCTCCCTCAGAGCAGTTCAGAGATTTGAACTCCCAGAGGTACCACCTTGGGTTAGCAATGCAACTCCCTATGGACTATGCCACCAGAGCTCCCTTCGTTGATATATTGTCCCATCCAAGTTGATTAATAGTTCTACTCCGTGGATCAAAGGCATTCCAACAGTCAGTAGCCCAACTGTTTAAAAGCAATCTTCCCATCCTCACTGCCCAGGAGTTGCACATCCTTATTGGCAAACCCACAGCTTCTAAACATGTCCCCATATGTCAATGGCCTTATCTTCACAGTCCAATGGCCTCATTTCTGTGGAACAATGCTTTGAGCCTAAAGATCAATAATCCAGTTTCCTAAAATCAGTACCCTCATTAAAGGAGCTATGGTGGGTTAGTGGTAAAGAGTTGAACTACTAGCCCAAAAGCACTTGGTTCGAATTCACCATCAGCTCTGAAGGAGAAAAATGGGCAATCTCCTCCCTTATGATTTACTGTCTCTGATGATAATCTGGAGGGTCAGCCATGAGTCAGTTCTGACTTGATGGCATATGACAATAAATAGTCCTCATTAACCAATAAGATTATCCCTATGGTAAAATTATCCCATTCCATTTGGTCAGTAGCTTCACATATACAAACCAGTGTCCCTTTCCTACTGGCCAGTGACCCCAGTCTTCATTCATATAGATATTTGTCTTGTCCCAAAAGATTACCCTGTTTTCACTGACTAATAGTCAGTGATCATCATCAGATTTTAATCTCTCCTGCTTTGTTACCTCTTCTCATTGTTTATATTCATGAGTGAATAGATTTATCCCCATTGATCAATAGTCCCATCCAATGGGACTATAATAGCCTTGTTGTTGCTGATTGCCTTTGAGTCAAGCACAACTCATAGTGACACAATGGACAAAAGGCCTGAAGCCCCTCTACAACCATCGACATTTATAAAAGGGAAAGATGGGTTGGCACAGTGATAACAGCAATGTGCTCAGACTACTATTGTGAGGATGGCGTAGAACTGGACAATGTTTTACACTCTTGTGCATTGGATTTCTGTGAGTTGGAACTAATTCAGTGGCACCCAACAGCGTGAATCACAAGAGACCAATTTTTTATTCTCCTAAGATTAATAATCCTATCACCAGTGACCAATACCACTATTCTCTATGAATTAATAAACCTATTCCCATGAATCAGTGATCCTGTGTACTGACCAGTGGACCCATCCCCACTGATCATTTTTCTGCATCAATAGAACCCTGCTCCATCCCTTTGAATTAATAGTCTTAATCCCATGAAACAATTACCTCATCTCCGAAAATCAATGACTCAGTCCCCCTAAAAACAAGAACTCCATCTTCACTGATCAATATTATCTCTGCAAAAAAAATTACCAATGGCCTCACATCCACAGATCAATTGCTACAAAGCCATATATCAATGACCTTATCTCCTCTGACCTGTCTAAGAAGAAAATTCCATCTCCACTGACCATTATCCCTATCCCAAAGATCAGTGATCCTAAATCTCCTGAGCATTATCCCATCCTGTTTGATGAGTGATCTTAGTTCTGTGAATAAATGTCCTTGTCTCCAACCAATAACCTCATCCTCAAGACTCAGTGGTTTCACCCCTTTAAGAACAATAGCCACACACACACAAAAATAATTTTAAAAAAAATTAAAAAATAATAATAAAAAAATTTAAAAAAAAAAAAAGAATAGCCACACCTCAGTAACCAGTAGTCAGATACCTACTTACCCCACCCTTCTTCTCTAGCCTCACTTTCAACTTTGAAGTGGGAGCTGAGCCCCACCTAGGAACTTCTCACCCATAGACCCTTCCAACTTTGCAGGTTTGGACGAAGGGGAATCGTGCTGCTGACCTTGGGGCTGGTGGGCCCCTGTGGAGTGGGAGGAGCTGCTGCAGGCTCCTCCACAGGTGTCATGGCCCTCCGATTCCTCCTGGGATTTCTGCTTGCTGGTGTTGATCTTGGTGTCTACTTAATGCGTGAGTGGCACTCTCCTAGAGATCCTTCCCTAGAGTCTCAGACATGCCCTGTCTATCTCTCCAGTGTGTGCCCACTGCCCCCTGGAATCCCCTCAGGCCTTTTTAGCTTCACATTTCAGATGGCCAGAATCTTAGCTGTCTTTCTGTTCAGACCTTTGAAGGATCCCAGGGCCCTACTTCTTTCCACACCCATCTTCTGCCGTACAGCGTTAGGGTCGCCTATGCCATGGCCTACTGCCGTATGGGAACAGCATATTACTTAAAAATTGAAATCCCAACTAACATCATGACCTTGGACAAATCACTCACTCCAAGGATTGTTGTCAAGGTCAAATAAGAGGTCAAATGTGAAAAGCCTTGTAAGCTCCCTGAACACTCCCTCACAGCAAACCCAGACTCTAGAGTTCTCCCAGGTTTGCAGTCAGAAAAAGAGAACTAAATAGCCTCTCAGGTCCTTGCCATCCAAAGGTTGGTCTGTGAGAGGTAAAGGCTACAGCCTCTACTTGGGGTCTGACCTTGCTCTCTGCCCTCCTCTCCCTTCCCTTTCTCATACCTCCTTTGTCCCTTACCTCTTCTTTGTCCCCGCTGTATCTCCAGGCCTGGAGCTGTGCGACCCAACCCAGAGACTTCGAGTGGCCCTGGCAGGGGAGTTGGTAGGGGTGGGGGGACACTTCCTGTTCCTGGGCCTGGCTCTTGTCTCCAAGGACTGGCGATTTCTCCAGCGAATGATCACCGCTCCCTGCATCCTCTTCCTGTTTTATGGGTCAGTATCTCCTTCCACGTGCGATCTAGCCATTCTCATCTCTACATCAACCCCTCAGAGGGTCAGGAGAGGGGAGATCTGATGCTACACTCTCACTGTCCTCCCTCAGCTGGCCTGGTCTCTTTCTGGAGTCTGCAAGGTGGCTGATAGTGAAGCGGCAGATAGAAGAAGCCCAGTCTGTGCTGAGGATCCTGGCTGAGCGGAACCGGCCCCATGGACAGATGCTGGGGGAGGAGGCCCAGGAAGCCTTGCATGGTAAGAGAGCAGCACCTCACATATGCATGACACAGGACAGTGCCTGCTGTATGGTATGGATAAGCCACCTTCTCCAGGACCCCCAAAACCCATATGGGAGGATCCCGGGCTCTGAGCTGTTTCTTCTAACAGACAGCTCCCCTCTCTCTCTCTCAAAGACCTGGAGAACACCTGCCCTCTCCCTGCAACGCCCTCCTTTTCCTTCGCTTCCCTTCTCAACTACCGCAACATCTGGAAAAATCTGCTTATCCTGGGCTTCACCAAGTGAGCCTGAGTGTCTGAGCCAAAGGCCAGGCCAGTAGCCGGGTTTAGGGGCAAAATGGGTGGGGAAGGCTGGAGGATGCCTGCAGAAGCTGTTAGGGTTGTGGAAGGCCAGGTGGGGTTCAGTCACTGCCCTTTTCTTTCCTCCTCCCTTCTCACAGCTTCATTGCCCACGCCATCCGCCACTGCTACCAGCCTGTGGGAGGAGGAGGGAGCCCATCGGACTTCTACCTGTGTTCCCTGCTGGCCAGCGGCACAGCGGCCCTGGCCTGTGTCTTCCTGGGCGTCACTGTGGACCGATTTGGCCGCCGAGGCATCCTGCTTCTATCGATGACACTCACTGGCATTGCATCCTTGGTCCTGCTGGGCCTGTGGGACTGTGAGTTTCCACCTTCCCTCACAGAGGGGGCTCAGCAAGGGATCCCCAGCAGGGCTGCCTCAGATAGGCCTCTGACACAGACCTCTCACGGGAAGACCCAGAGCCTGCCCAGCTCTTCCATAATCCTTCTTCTGGTGGCACATTTCTGTCTGTCCTCCTAGTCGACAAGTGTATGTCCCAGCACACCTAGCCGGAGCTACAGGTATAGAGAGCCAAGCAGGGTGACCATGGAGACCAGGCCTGGCATGAGCTCAACTCCATTCATTCTGCTTCTCTTGGTCCTCCAGATCTGAATGAGGCTGCTGTCACCACCTTCTCTGTCCTTGGCCTCTTCTCTTCCCAAGCTGCTGGCATCCTTAGCACCCTCCTTGCGTGTGAAGTCATCCCTACCACTGTCCGGTGAGAGCAGGGTCAGAGTTGGGACAGGGGCTTTGAGATAGCATAGGGAATGGCTGCTGGAGAAAGGTGGGGTGGGGTCCCCAGATACAGGCTGAGTGCCTCCTCCGTCTCTCCCAGGGGCCGCGGCCTGGGCCTCATCATGGCCCTGGGGGCTCTTGGGGGGCTGAGTGGCCCTGCCCAGCGCCTCCACATGGGCCACGGAGCCTACCTGCAGCACGTGGTGCTGGCAGCCTGCGCCCTCCTCTGCATCCTCAGCATCATGCTCCTGCCAGAGACCAAGCGCAAACTCCTGCCCGAGGTGCTCCGGGATGGAGAGCTGTGCCGCCGGCCTTCCCTGCTGCGCCAGCCACCCCCTAACCGCTGTGACCATGTGCCACTGCTTGCCACCCCCAACCCTGCCCTCTAAGTGGTCTCTGAGCACCCTGGCGAGAGGTTGGCTAAACCAGAAGGGTGACCTATGGCCCTGGCAGGGAGATAGAAAGGACAAGAAAGGAGGCAGGAGCTGAGAAGGCTTGGTGGCACCTCACGCCAGCCGTCTAGGAGAGCTCAGAGGGCTGTCCCTATCCTGTGTCCTACCTGCTGCTTTGTGTTCACGTCCTCAGTCGGAGTCAGGGGACAGGGAAAGAGCTCCACACGATAATCACTGGGTCTGGGCTCCATCCTGTGCCGCAAAACATCCTCCCAGACTCATTCTTTCTTGCTCTATCATTCTGTTTCAATAAAGACATTTTAAATAAATGAGCATACCATAGCATGGACTTCCCTCCCTTCTGTTGTCTCTTGCAAGAAACTTTCTCTTGATGGAAACCAAACCAATAACAATCTTTCCTCCCCATCCCTGTGCCCTGCCCCCGACATGTTAACTTCAAGCCAATTACCACCACTTACTGATTGCTTGCTATGCTGCCAAGAGCAGGCTAGATGCATTACAAACTTCATAGCATTTAATCCTTACAACACTGCAAGGTAGGTTCTTGGATCAATTAGAGTATTTTACTATTGTTGCAAACAGTGAAAGCTGACTAATACAACTAAACATAATGAGCTAATTTTTTAGAAAGTGTAAGGAAAACTAGGGAGTGCTGGTGGCCTAGTGGATAAGGAGTTGATCTGCCAAGCCAAAGGTAGGCAGTCTGTGTCTCCCAGCTGCTCTGCGAGAGAAAAAGGAGTAGTCTCCTCCTATGTGATTTACAGCCTCTGGAAGTCTGCTATGAGTCGATTCTGACTTTACAGTAATGAGTGAGTGAGCAGCAGGGTGGTAGTTGGTGGTTCACAGAATGAAAGGAGAATCAAAAGTCCCAGAGAACCTGCAAGGTAGAGGAAACAGGAGCCGGGATCATGTGGCCAGAGTGCCTCTTCGATGAACGAATGTCACTAGGATTTGATCTTGAGTTACTCCACTGAAATTCATTTGCAAAGAGCATGTAATGGCCTAGATTGAGTAACATACCTATTCTTCTTTGTGACAACTGAAGAGGAAAAGAACAAAAACTTAGTGTTGTTCACAGAAACAGCAGACTGGATATTATGTGGGGGTGGGGGGAAATAATAGGTATCCGCTATAGTATTATTTTGTGGATAAGAAAACTGGAACCGACTCAGGTACTTGTCCAGGCTTACAAAGCTAGTGGGAACCAAGCTGGGATATTAGATCTGGGTGTTGGCTATGCTCCGTGGCCATGGAGTTTTAATACACCTCAAGTAAGTGGCAGTAGGAAACGAAGTCTTCCACTTCAGTGTCAGTCCTCAGCTCCCAGACTAGCTCAGGCCTGAATTTACCACTTTGGGCAAATCTCTTAACCTCTAGCTTCCTCGACAGATTGCTTTAAGGGTTAAAAGGATCTCTGGTGGCCTAGTGGGTAAGGATATGCACAGCCAACCCAAAGGTGGTGCCTCTCTTGTTATTTGAATCCACCAGCGGTTCCCTGGGAGAAAGAGGGACAGTCTCCTCTCATTCTGTTTACTACCTCTGAAGATCCACTGGAGGGTCAACTGTGAGTCAGTCCGAACTCAGCACACAACAACAGTGTCATAAGGGTTAGATGTGGTAATGTATGCATAACTCAGAAATTCAAACTCATTGAAGTCTAAATCATGTGGAAGGATCTTGCTCATCTTTCTCCCAGGAAACCACTGGTAGATTCGAACGAGCAGAGAGGCACCTTTGGGTTGGCAGTGCACCTGGCAGTGATAAGTTATATCACCGAAACTACCCCCTAGAGTGCTTGAGGGTAAGAAGTGTCTTATTCAACTTTGAAACATCAACACGTGACACATTTAGATGTTCTAAAAGTTACTGAATTAATATTTGTTCATTCTTTCAGGGAGTGTTTCCTGTGCCTGATTTATAAACCAGTACCATCATGGATATTTAGGGCATAAACCGTCTGTCAGAGAGTTGCTCAAAATCCAGCTAGCACTGGGCATATTAATGAGGAGGCTGACGGTTTGGAGCACCAAGAGGCTGCTTCTTGAAGGTGGTGAGATTGTATCCAGGGGAATAGGACCTCTTTGGCTAGGTTAGAGGCTTCATACAGCTCTTCTAATTCTAGGTGAAGGGCCTAGCATGGTAACAAAGACCTGGAGGTTGGCTGGGATGAGGTTCTTCTGGAAGGGTGGCCCAAAGAGAGAGGGATACTTAGGGGAAATCTAAATCTTGAGGTCGACCTCTTCCAGAGAAGGGAGACCCGTTACCCACAGATTTCTGTAGCACTAAGTTCTGGCTCCCTATCTGAGGTCCAAAGCTTTATGAACTAAACCATGCTACTAGACTCTCAATAATAATAATTGTAATGTTTCTGTATAACACATACAGACCTTTCTAATTTAATCTTCACAGACCCATAAAATAGGTATTCATTCTTTTAGGCCTGTTTAGAATGTCTTTGAATTGCTCACTGACCTCAATGCTGAGATGTTTTTAGGCTCGTTAGGGTCAGTGAAAAAAAAAAAGGAAGATCAAATGTTGGAGAACAAGATGGGTTGACAAAGTGATGGCAACAATGGGGTTTTTTTTATATTTTAATTTATTTATTTTTCATTTCAATTAACATCTACAGAGATATTGGAATTTCATTCATTCATTGTTGCAACCTGGCAACAATGGTTTTAAGCACAGTAAAGATTGTGAAACTGAATGGTGCCGGATCGGGCAGGGTTTCCCTCTATTGTAAATAGGGTCGCTGTGACTTAGAGCTGATCGGACAGCATCTCACAACGAGGTCAATGATAAAACCTACTCACCTCTGCTTGATTCTGTGAGAACCAACATGATGGGTGAGAATGCACTTGTAAATTTGGGAAGAGCTCCTGTTAAGTCACAGAGTCATTATGTGCCCAGTGCACACAATGAGGAGTGATTTCAAAGTGTTGTTTCAGTAAATTCATTTTTATACACCTGCTGGCGGCGGGGAGTGGGGGCAAGTTTAAGAAAAGAAAGTACAAACACTCAGACAGCAATCAATACAGCTGCTGTATAGAGGTAGGCGACAGAGAGCAAGATCCTGATTATTTTTTTTTATCCGAAGAGGTGATGGGAAAGCAATTGGGAACATCAGTGAAGTAGACATGGGGAAATTGAGGTTTGGAGAGGTAAATGACTTATCCAAGGTCATCTTGTGGTAAGAGAGAAGAATAACCAGATCTGAGAAATAGAGCCTACAATTTCCTCACTCCGTGGTAGGTAGAAAATATTTCTAAACATCACAAGAGAAAGCTTTGCCAATTCTTTAATATACGCCAGGAACTTCAAGGAGATAAGAAACTTTGCTTGAAGACATCATACTCATTAAAACATGAGTAGATCTTAGAAAATGTTTTGGTTAGATTTGCAATGAAGAGCTATCAAGAATTTTAAGTAGAACACTGAAAGTACATATGGAGTGCAGAAAGCAAAATCTCTGCCCTCAAGTGACCTCCATCAGGTTTCCAAGGCTGTTAAGTCTTAACAGTAGACTTCCTATCTTTCTCCCTTACAGCAGCTGGTTGACTTGAACCACTGACCTTTAAGTAAGCACCACAACACACTGCATGTTAGACCACCAGAGGCCCTTATTGTTGCTGATACTTGCTGTTAGCAACTCACAGTGACTCTGAACCTTGCCTTCTCCTCTGCCATCCTCACCATCTCCAACTTCTTCAAGCCCATTGTCACTGTGTCAATCCATCTTGTGTGCACCTTCCTCACCTTTCCAAACATCATGTCCTTCTCCAAGGATCAGCTCCTCCGAACAGCATATCCAAAATGTGTGAGATGGAGTTTCACCTCCTTGCCTCCCTGGTTTCACTTTTTCCAAGACAGACCTGTTTGTTCTCTTAGCAGTCTGTGGGATATTTGGTACTCTTCTCCAACATTACAACTGAAAGACATCAATTTTTCTTATACTATCCTTAGTCATTGCCCAACTTTCAGATGCATAACAAGCAAATGAGAAGATCATGGCTTGGCCCAGGCACATTTTAGTCTTTAAACTGACGTGATTACTCTTTTAGTGCTCTGGAGAGGTCCCTGACAGCAGATTTTACCAATGCAACTTGTCTTTTGATTTCTTAACCCGGGGTGTTGATTGTGGATCTAAGTAAGATGAAGTCATTGACAGTTTCAGTCTTTTCTCCATTTATCATAAGGTTGTCTATTGGCCTGGTGGTAGGATTTTCATCTTCTTGATGTTGAGATATAATCCATATCGAAGGCTTTAGGCTTTGATCTTCTGCAGCAAGCTCTTGAAGCCTTCCTCATTTACAACAAATAATGTGTAATCTGCATAACACAGGTTGTTGATGAGTCTTTCTTTGATCCTGAAGCTGCATTCTTCTTCCTAAAGTCTGGCTTCTTGAATGATTTGCACACAGCACACAGATTGAATAGGTATAGAGAAAAAGTATAGCCCCAATGTTCCTCATAGTTAAAAAACTACGTGACATGGCATGAAGGCACTCCCACCACTTCCTCTTCAGTCTACCTAGCCAGGCTTTCACACAGTCAGCTTTTACAGGTTACCCATGTGATGTCTGTTTCAGGTCTAGGGGAAGCAGCATGGTCTTCACCTGAAAGAGCTTAGTCTGGGGGATGACTGAAACAAATAGTTAACAATCCAATATGTTAAGTGCAGCAAAATGGCAAAAGTCCTATGAAGGAGGAGTTTGCCCTATTGGAGGTGGTGAGAAAAGCTTCATGGATATTTGGATTGACCTTTCAAGGAAAAGGCTTGCATTTGCCAGGAACATGCCAAAGAGAAGGAAATGGTGCTGTCAGAGGCAGGAGAGAACATGGTGTACTTAGAAGACAGCAAGTTTTCATTTTAAGCAACCGTGAAATAAAGGACCATTACAGAAAACCCACAGCTAACTAACCTAACAGTGAGAGACAAAAAGCTTTTCCTGTAAGATCAGGAATAAGAAAACAATATCCAATTTAATCTTCTATTCAACATTGCGTTGGATGTTTCAGGAAAATCAGGAAAGAAAATGAGATAAAAGACACTTAGATTGGAAAAAGAAAATTGTGTCTATTTGTAGATAACATGGTCATTTATATAGAATAATCCTAAGGAATACACATATACACACAAACTACTCGAATGAATGTCAGCAAAGTTACTGAATCCACACTGACCTTGAAGTCAAAGTCAATATTAAAAAAATTATTTGTATTTCTATATACTAGCTGCTAACTCTTAGGAAGTTCTGGTAGCTTAGCGGTAAGGGGTTGTACTGCCAATGCAAAGACATCCAGTTTGAGTCCACCAACTG